TCCGTGTGCGCTTGAGAAAAATGTGTACTCCGTTTTTTTGGGGTTTAGTGTTCTATAGATGTCTGTTAAGCCTAATTGCTCTAGGTCCTTATTTAGAGCTTTGGTTTCTTTACTTATTTTTTGTCTTGTTGATCTATCCATTGTTGATAGTGGTGTGTTGAAGTCTCCCACTACGTATGTGTTTTCTCTGATGTCTGTTTTCAGAGAGGACAACAGTTGTCTGATATATTTTGGTGCTCCTTCGTTTGGTGAGTATATGTTAATGAGTGTTATTTCTTCTTGAAGTATTGTCCCCTTGATCATAATGTAGTGACCATTGGGGTCTCTTTTTATCTTTTTGAGTTTGAAATCTGTTTTATCTGATATAAGTATAGCTGTTCCTGCTTTCTTTTTTGGTCCATTTGCTTGTAGGATTGTTTTCCATCCTTTAACTTTGAGCCTATTTTTATCTTTTGTAGCTAAATGTGTTTCCTGGAGACAGCAAAAGGTTGGGTTTTGTTTCTTAATCCAGGCTGCCACTCTGTGTCTTTTTATTGAAGAGTTTAGTCCATTTACATTTAGAGTTAATATTGATATGTTAACATCTGTATTTGCCATTGTGTTTGTCTTTCCTTTGATTTTATTTATTCTTTTAATAACTTTTTTTTTTTGGCCTTCTTTCATTGTTATTCGTCCCTCTGAGGTTCTGGCTTTAGGACTCCTTGTAGTATTTTTTGGAGTGGGGGTTTAGTTGCAATGAAATTCCGGAGTTTCTGTTTGTCTGGGAAGGTCCATATTCTTTCTTCAAAGAGGAAGGAGAGCTTTGCGGGATAGAGTATTCTTGGTTGGCATCTGTTTTCTTGGAGTCTGTTGACTATGTCCCTCCACTCTCTCCTTGCCCGTAGTGTTTCTTCGGAGAAGTCTGATGTCAGCCTGATTGGTTTTCCTTTGAATGTTATCTGTTTCTTCCCTCTTGCCAGCTTCATTATTTTTTCCTTGTCCTGGATTCTTGGGAGCTTTACTATTATGTGTCTTGCTGTATTTTTCCTTTCGTCGTGGAAGTTTGGTGTTCTTCTTGCTTCTTGTATATCAATTTTCAGCTCCTTCTTCACATTTGGGAAGTTCTCTTCAATTATCTCTTTGAATATTTTCTCTGTTCCTACATCTCTCTCCTCTCCTTCTGGTATTCCTATAACTCTTATATTTCCTTTCCTCATGGAGTCAGATAGTTCCCGAAGTCTTTCTTCGTTCTTTTTCCTTCGTACTTCTCTTTCCTTTTCTGTTTTGGTTCTTTTTATTTCTGTGTCTTCAAGATTACTTATTCGTTCTTCCATTTCATCTATTCTGCTTTCATTGCTTTTCCCAGAATTCTTTAGTTCTTCCATTAATTCTTTGATCTCCTGCATTTCTTTTACTTCCCTCTTTAGGGACTCAATTTCTTTCTTCTGACCATTGTTTTCCCTCTCTAGGGACTCAATTGCATTCTTCTGATCGTTGATTATTTTTCCCTTATCATTGTTTTCCTTTATGACTTCTGTCAGTTTTTTAATCACGGCAATTTTAAATTCTCTTTCTGGAAGGCTCAGAAATTGTTCCAAGTTATTGTCTTTGCAATCTGGGGGCTGGCTTTCTTTTTGTGGTGTGCTTTTTCTCTGGAGAGTTGCTAGGTTGCGTGTGGTTCTTCTCCTCCCTACTGTCTGTTTTCTAATTTGCCGTATGCGTTGGGACACTGTGTTGTTGGGACTGGCCGGCATCTTGGGTGGGCTTCTCTGTTCCCCTCTGGTTCTTCCAGGAGTCATCTGTCAGTTCAAGCAGCCTCTGGCTCCTGAGGAAGCCTTCTGCAGGTAGTCTTTACTGAAGAAATGTCCCTGTTCTAAAATGGTGATGTGGGACACACTCCCTGCGCGTCTGGTCTCAGGCACACTCTTCTGCGCGCCTGGTCTGCCCCGGCTGTGGGTGCTCGCTCTCCCTGTGGGCTCAGACTACTTGTTCGGAAGGAGCCAGGTGTGGGCTAACTCCCCAGCTGGCCACTAGCTCCTTCAGTAGCCTGTGCTGGGGTCAAGTCGCTAGGTGGCGCCAGAGATCTCTCCTAGAGCCCTTGGGGAGCTGATTTTCCACCCCGTGGGACAGGGAGCAGAGCGGGGATGGTAGGGTACACCTCAACGGCTTTGGGGTGCTGTGTCTGCCTTGTGCCCCACCGTCGTGGGGAACCCACGCCCCTAATTTCGTGCCCCGGGTCTCAGTTCCAAAGCCCTCAGTTCCAGGACGCGGGCTGTAGCCCAGATCAGTGGCGCGGGAATGGCGCCTTTTGAATCCCGCTCCCCTGCCTGGGCGCCTTGTTCCTGCTCACTCAGGGAGGGCCTCCGCCGTCTCCCGGCAAGCCTAGGTCGCAGGCGCGGGACCTGGGCAGCTGCGATCTGGTCTGGATCCGCGCCACTTTCCGCGCAAGCTTACCGGCGGCCGGGGCTGTGTGCTGGTGCTGGTCTCCTCCTGGGGGCGGGCTCTCTTTAATGGCGCCTGGAGCTCACCTCCGCGGCGGATCCTGCAGGGTTCGCCTCAGCTCCTGTTCACGGGGTGTGGTGGCTGCAATAGTTCCTTTCCACTCACAGTCCCGCTTGCTGTGTCCGTTTTTCTTGTTGGCCGTTTTGGTTTGTTGTTTCCCTCCTCTCTGCGGTGGAGAGTGCTGCCTCTGTGGGCAGGGGAGGGGAGCAGGGTTCTGCGCTTCCCTCCCTTCTAGTCCTCTTTTATGGCCACTTTCTTCTTCGGGCAGTTTGCTGGAGTCGTCCGTTTATCTTCCGTGTCCCAGTTCTCACTGGGACCTGCCGCTTTTCCTCCCTATTAACTTTTTTTAATGGGAGATCTTACTCGCAGCGTCTCCTCGCCGCCATGTTGCTCCGCCCACTCCTGTTTGTTTGTTTTTTTAATTCATGCATACAAGAGCTGGGATACAGGCCAGAGGTGTTTAGGGGGAGGGGCAAGAGGATTCACCAGAGACAGAGTGGAGAACAGAACAGGCAGATCCACTGAAGTATACTGCTGAGAGAAGTAGTGGCCGAGTCAGGAGAGGTCTGCTGCACCATGTGGGTAGCTCCCTGGCCAGCTGGGAATCAAACTCGGCCACAGAGGCTGCGGACAACTCCATAGGTTGCGTTTTAACCCCTTGCTCCACCAGGGAGGCCTGGTTGTGGAGTTTTAATGAGATACTATACATAAAGTGTTCAGCACAATACTTGGGACAAAAATTTGTTCCCTTTACCAAAAATATGTGTATTTGATCTTGGCTTTGCCAAGTAAGAACACATCTGAGGACACATGCCTCTTAAGCACCAGCTCAGTGGCTCCTGCAGCAGTATCTCCACAATACATTATCCAACCATGTCAGCCAGTTTTTAGTCTCTAGAACAAAATTCACTCAAAAATGTAAGTGTGATCATATTTTCCTCACTGAAAGAAAGTTGCTTGTCCCATTCTGATTCTCATTTTCCTTGTCTATTAAATAATAATGTCAATCCCAGAAGGGACTATGCTGCTTACACATAATTTATATCAAATGCCTACAGCAATGCTAACTATATATTTGGTGCTCAATAAAGGGGACTATATTTCTTTTTAAATTGGGTTTATAGCTATCTGAGTTTCCAGGTCTTAAAGTTTTGAGAGACTGTGAGACACACACACACACACATAGATTCATATATAGAGATGTAAAAAATTTCAGGGTAGTTACATATACATATGTATTGAACACTAGTAACAGTTTCAGAACAATATATGCAATATAATAATATTGAAGTAAGACACTTATGAAGGTATCATTTAAACATATACTTGCATATATCTGAAAATACTAATATATAAAAGGATGGCCTATGACAATTCTCAAACTGAAAGAATGATTTCTGCAGGTAAAATGATTTGGCACAGGAGTTCATCAAAGGGGATAAAATGTATATATCACACTGTTCTTCACTATGTATCTTAATTGTTCTTTTTTTAAAAATATTTATTTATTTATTTATTTATACAAGAACTGGGGTACAGGCCAGATTCACGGGAGGGTGAGAGGATTCACCAGAGACAGAGCGGGGAACAGAACAGGTAGACTGACAAAATACACTGCTGAGGGGAGCAGTGGGCGAGACAGGAGAGGTTTGCGGCACCATGTGGGACCCTCCTCGGCCGGCCGGAATCTAACCGGCACTACAGATGCTGTGGACAGCTTCACAGCACTGTGCTCAACCTCCTGTGCCACCAAGGGAGGCCCTTAACTGTTCTTAATTATTCTCATGTTGTAGTGATAGGGCCAGAAACTGCCACAGTGGAGACTTTAGTTCATATCTTTTTGTCTTATAGTGGTACATGATCATATTTATTTAATCCACCAATAAATATAAAGACATTTCCATTTGAAAAATAAAATATCGAGGGCCTCCCTGCTGGCATAAGGGGTTAAGACACAACCTATGATGCTATCTGCAGCCACAGCAGCATGAGTTCGATCCCAGGCCAGGGAGCTACCCACATGGTGCAGCAGACCTCTCCTGTCTCGCCCGCTGCTGAAATAGTATATCTGCCCATTCTATTCCCCACTCTGTATCTGGTGAATCCTCTCACTCCCCACCCCATACCTCTGGCCTGTACCCCAGTTCTTGTATGCATAAATAAATAAATCTTTAAAATAAAATATTGATTAAAGAAAACAAGTTTCCACTAGAAGGAAACCTTGTTTCCACAGTATAATCTTGTATGCTGTTATACAGGCATTACTTTCTCAATATATGGGTCATCTTTGCCTTTCTTTCTTTTCCTTTTAAATACAAAAGCTAAAAAATAGGAAAATAATAAAAAATATATTCAAAAATTAATGCCTTATAGTAAATCTGTTTATGACCAAGCCTTTTGGTTAACTCAAATGCAACAATTTTTGCATCACATGTAATACCAGTTATAAATTGAGTTCAGGGGTTGGTTTGCCAACCTCAAACCTGATGCCACTCTTGCTATCTTGTCCCCACAGATGACTGAGGGCAGGCACTGCCAGGTGCACCTCCTGGATGACAGGAGACTGGAGCTGCTGGTTCAGGTAGGCGTCCCCCACACAGCGACCGCATCCTGGTACTTCTGTGGGCCTCATGACCTGTGGCTTGCTCATTTGTGCCTCAAAACTCAGGATTGCTTAAGCAGAGAAAAGCAGTTTCAATCAGAAAACTTGGGTTTGAGTTTGTAAGAGTAATTGTAAGTAAGAGTAATTGCAGGCCAGAGATAGATTCAGCGACACTTGGATACCAGTCTCAACTTTGACTGTCAGTAGCTGTGTGACACCCAGCAAGTGCCTCTCACCCTCTTTAAGTAAATAGATCACGGTGCGATCCATAGGGGTGATTTTTGAGCTGAGAATCTGCATTCTGCCACTTTCTAACATTGTTCAAATTAAAAATCCAGTTTCATCAGCTGTGAACTTGCATTAAGATTGCTTAGTTTTCCTCACAGAATTATAGTTAAAACCAAGCTAGATTATATATGTGAATAAAATCTCTTCATAAATTATATTGACCATGTTGAGTGATGACCTTTTATTGTTGATGCTTCTCTTTTTATTTGCCTATCACTCTAGACTCAGAGTCCTAGAAGTCCCTTCTGAGAGCCACACCTCCTGTTAAGGCTAGAATTCTCTCCTTTCTCACTTCTGAGGTCATCCTAGCCCACTATGCACGAGCTTCCATTAGAATGGAAACAGCATCATCAACAATGGTATCACCATTGTTGTTTAGATTAGTTTTCTTCCCTCCTTCCCTCCATCTGTCTCTCCCTCCCTGTCTGCCTTCCTCCCTTCCTCCCTCCCTCCCTCTCTCCCTTCCTTTTAAAGCATGGCCATTCTTTCTTCCCCAGTAGCAAACCAAACCTCAAACCACAGTATTGACACCTAAATCATTTTAGCAAAGTTCAAATAAACCCCTCTGGAATGCCCTCCTGTGAGCCCCCCTTTTCTTCCCATTCCTGCAAATCCAGTATCCTCTCTGCACATCCGGGCTGATTGCAAGCCATGTTGTTTTTGTTTTGTTTTTTTTCCTACCAGGTCCAGTGCTTCTCAAAAGCTTATAGTTTAGACCTTTTTTCTAACTAGGTGCTCAGCAAGTACTATGGACAAGATTTTGCACAGTGGGTACAATTACTCCATTCCTAGAGAGAGATGGAAAAGTCACCCTTGGGAATCAGACAGAACGGATTTCAAATCCCTGCCCGAACTGTAACTTTGAGAGAGGTGCTTGGTTGGCTCATCTATAGTATATGTGCTGCCGAAGCGAGCACCTGGTTGGCTCATCTATAAAAAGCAAACAATGTGGAAAAAAAAATGTAAAATATATATATATATATTTTTAATAAAATGAAATAATAAAGTGGAAATAGAGCCATTACTTCATAGGCTCATTGTTAGGGTTACAAATGGATATGAGGACTGCACCACAATAATAAAAACTACTGCTATTTTGTAGTAGCAGCAGCAGCAGCAGTAGTAATAGTTCTGTCTTGGATCTTGAGCCTTTTCAACTAGCCCCCACCAAGTAAAGCTTATTCCCCACTAGTAACATACTAGGGATTTTCCAAAATATTGGAGTATTTTCCAGCACACCCTTTTCCCAAGAGATTTCATCCATGTAATCTAGCTTGATTTTAACCAGTGCACTAGTAAGCATGCTATTAGCTTAGAGGGAAAAAAATAAGGTATTGAACTGAATTGCAAATAAATATATGAATGGATAATCTGATTGATATTCCTATTCCCATTTCCTCTCCTTCCCAGTTTCTTAGAGAATAAACTGAGTAGATTAATTCCAGCAGCAAAAGGGTTAGGTATAAAAAACAAAAGCTGCTTTAAACTATTTGGGACAGAGGAAGTTGGTAGCAATAAGAGAGAGAAAGAGAGGCAACCAAATTGTCTCTAATCAGATTATTATCTTGACAGCCCAAACTTTTGTCAAGAGAGCTTCTGGACCTCGTGGCTTCACATTTCAACCTGAAAGAAAAGGAGTATTTTGGAATCACATTTACAGATGACACGTAAGTATTTAAAGCTTATATTTCTTTGGCTTTCATCTGGGCTACCTGCTCAATATCATTCACAATAAGCAAAAAAATGAAAGGAGGAAATGTTCCAAAAAATAGAATTATGTCCTGTGTAAAGATTGTTTAAAACAATATTTTTCTCTGAGGATTATTGCAAAGGGATTATCGACCATTTTAAAAAATCAAAATATTGTCCCAAATGTCCCAGAAATTTGTTGCAATTATTTTGTTATTCTTGCATAGTCTATCTACATATTTCTTTGAATGCAGTGGTGCTTGCTTATTTCGCTTATATATCAATAATAGAAATACTAGATTGTCCTTCACTTGTATTTGGAAACTGAGTTAATGGTTTGGTGTTGGAGGCAAGAATGTTTAAGGGACGATGCATGGCCCACCCAAAATATATGGATGTAATTTAGTGTAGAATGCACTTTTTTTTTTTAAGATTTATTTATTTATTTATACAAGAGCTGGAGTGCAGGGGGTGAGAGGATTCACCAGAGACAGATTGGGGAGCAGAACAGGCAGATTGGCTGAAATACACGGCTCAGGGGAGTAGCAGGCAAGACAGGAGAGGTCTGACAGGCCATGTGGGTCACCTCCCTGGCCGGGGATTGAACTCATGCTGTAGTAACTGCGGATTGCTTCATAGTGCTGACACTTAACCCCTTGCACTCCAGGGAGGCACTTTTTAACTTTCAAGTTGGTCCATTGTATGTTACCTCTCTACTATCTTATTTTGACTTTGTTTCCATTTTTTATGCTAACTTGGGTATTGTGTGTATTTGTCAATGACTTAAATCCTCTCTGAAATGAGAGTTAAAAAAAAAAAAAAAATAAAAATAAAACTCCATGTAAGCAACTATGTTTGGTTTTACCAGCTCTTTGCTGAGTGTATATTTGAGTATGTGTATGTGTCTGTTTTTAAAGCTGCCTGATTTGGCTACATTATGTGCAGTCTGTTACATTTATCAGAGGAATTCTTTCCCTTTGTGGGGATAATTTCCAAAGAGCTCTTCAAATATTAAAGTTCAAGTGAATATATATTCCAGACACAAAGTATATTAGCCAACCACCCAGCATTCTTTCCATAGCTCTCCCAGTCTCAATGTTTTTTCAACTCTTCAGTTTAATCAGGCATAGAGTAATCTCATGAATGGGTTAATTTGTTTTTAACACCTTGTAGTTTCTGTTTATTTCCATCCTGGGTGGGCTGCAAGACCTCCCAGAAATGACAGCAGGCCCAGAACTTGAGTGGGTTGAGCCAGCTGGGCAGCTGAGTTGTCCGGAGAGGTAGAAAAATCCAAAAACTTATGCAAAATATACAAAAAAATCAGACTCAGAATGGCTCTGAAATAGAGTTTGACAAAACAGAAAATGCACTTGATATCACCCACCTCACTCTGAATCACAGATTTATCTGTTCACTCGGCCACCCTTTGAGAACCTGTACGGTCAGTCCCCTGCTGGACAAAATAGGAAATGCAGGTGTCCAACAACCAAGCTCCCACTATGAACGACTGGTTCATGCGAATCAGTGATTAATCACACACACAGAGGTCAAATCTGTATGTGAATGACGTAATAGTCAACATTATAAGACATAAATACATGGCTAAGTTATATGGTATAAACCATAAGTGCTATTGATTCCAATATAGAGATGACATAGAAGCTAAAAGCATGAATATTAGAGTAAATTTTTCATCCAAAAAATATTTCTTGAGTGCCCATGAGATACCAGCATAGTTATGGTTATAGGTCTCAGGGATCAACTGAAAACAACACAAAGTTCTTACTTTAGTGGAGTTTATATTACAGTGGTATGATCTAGCAGAATAAGAAAACAAATAAAATGTTTTGAAGAATATAACATAAGAGGCCACAATCATCATCATAATCAATAAGAAACTAAGGGTAAGCTTTAGACAAGGGCCAAGAAGATTTCTATAATAAAAAAGCAAGTGCCAGCTCTATGGAAGTCTGGGGAGGCATTCCAGAGAAAGCCAGCACAAGATGGGTTGAGTTTGGTGTGTTTGTTGTTGTGATTATCTTTAAGAAAAAAAGTCAAGATAAGGGGTTGAAAGTGAGGCAAGAGGTAAATATTTAAGAATCTTGGTAAATGTGCAATCTTAGTCCAATTATTTAACATCACCAATACTTGATTTTTCTCTAGACAGTGGGCATAATAATAGTACCCAAATAGTATGTACTATATAAGGCTCATAAAATAGGGTCAAAGTATTACCATTAAATCTGGTAAGATATGCAAAGTCTATAGCACAGGCACATAATAAAAGGGGGCGATCATCCTATGTGAGTAATCAGTGCAGTAAGTGTTCAGAAGGAGACTGAAGAAAGACCAGGATAGAAGGATAAGTAAAATTGGACTGGCAGGCCAGGTAGACTTTAAGAAGAGGGAAGAGGAGATGGCATTCCATGGAAGATTCATTTTGTGGGCTGATGCATGAGTGTGGTCATGATCATGGAAATTCCCCCGCTGGTGAGGAGACTGGCCTAATGGTAGAGTAAGATGTAAGAGACAAGATCAGAGTGAGTCTGGTGAGTCACATGGATGGGGGAGGTTCCCTGGGGCCACTGGAGGATATTAAGCAGAACAGTGACATGATTTATGACTGGAGTCACCAGTCCCCCAGGCTGCATGGCTCATGGTGGCCTGGAAAAGGGGGTCCTGACCACATGGAAGGCTTTTGGGAAAGCTCTAAGGTCAGGTATGCATAAACCAGACAGCATATAAATCAGACATACAGACTGCAAGACCTTCTCTTTGGAAAGAAAAGGCATAATATAAATGACTTCCTAAATGACTTGGGCCACCTTCCCCCTCATTTATCCTGGGATTTCTTACTGAATACTCTAGTGGAAGAAGACTATCTTGCTCAAGTGTCTCCTCCAGCTGTCTCCCTTGGATACAGTGGCCAATGGCGAAAGTCTTTCCAAGAAGTCTGGCTTCAAAATGTCCTTCCTGTACTTGCCTGTGAAAGACAGCAGCATCTATTTTTGAATTATGACCAGTTTGGAAGGTTTCTCCTGGCTCTAGCTGTGTTTATTTTCAGAAGAAGTATGAGCTGGGCTTTTGATGGCGGAGGTGGGGAGGAGTAGGAATTGGCTATTTCTACCTTTCTGGGGAACAGGCCTGGAAAATTGCTTCTGTCTAAGGGTGTCTCCCTGGAATGTCTTGGTCCCAAGTCTAGTTCTTTTTCTTTGTCTGCTAAATGTTTTTGGAAAGTACTTTCTTCCAGCACTTCCCTCCCCTACCCCGCATAAACCACTGAGTCGGATCTCTCCCAAGATGCTGTCTGAATTGCATTTTCCAGCCTAGATGCCACATCAGCCACTTGCCTTTGACCAGATTAAGGCAAAGCTAAGAGGAACATTTCATCAGTGAAACTAGCTACTGTGTCTATACTTTTCTCCACAGGCCAAGAAAAGAAATAGAAAAATAGAATTGTGTGGGTACATAATAGAAGTAGTGATGGTGGCCCACAAAAGCAAATTCATGGTTCTATTAGAGGGAGTGGGATTACAGTTGTCAGTGCTTTCTGGTATTCCATGTGCCTGGGGTGTCTTTAACCCCTAGAGGGCAGTCATGGACCTCTTGAAGCAGACACCCTTCTGTTCTGCATTATGTCCATCTCCCTCAATCCATTTCTTTTTTTTTTAATGTTTAACATTTTTTTAATGTTTAATTTTTTTGTTCTTTTTTATTTTATATATTTACATCATTTTCATTTTTGCACAATGTATGCATTGCCATCTTGTATATTCCCCATGCAATTCCCACCCCCTTTATTTTGACCCTAATTCCTCATCCCCTTACCCCACCCCCCCCCCGAATTTGTCTCTGGTTTATAGTTGCTTGTTGATTTTGATTTTTACTTCAGTGTAATTATTTTTCCTGGTCCCTTATTTAGGTTTTCTAAATTCCTGCTATGAGTGAGACCATCCGGTATTTTTCTTTTTCTTTCTGGCTTATTTCGCTGAGCATGATCCCTTCCAGCTCCATCCATGTTGCTGCAAATTGCATGAGTTTATCTTTTTTGATTGCTGAGTAATATTCCATTGTCTATATGTACCACATATCCAGTCATGTATTTTTGGGCATTTGGATTGTTTCCATAGCTTAGCTATTGTAAATAGTGCTGCTATAAACATAGGGGTGCAGGTGCCCTTTTGAATTAATGGCAATCCATTTCATTTTTGTCTTGCCCTGTTTTGAAAGATTCTGCTAAATCAAGTTTGTTTATGTTCAGTTTCTCTACCTTCCACATATAAGTGAAACCATCCCATACATAGGAAAAACTGAGCAAAAGGTCAAAATAAAAGACAAAACTAGCAAGCTGACCATAGATCTGAGGCATACAGCAAGGGGTCTGGGGTGGGGGCAGAGGTCAAACAAAACAGGGGAGAGAAGAGCACAAGGGACTGTGGTGATGAATCATCATTTATATGGTGGTGGGAGAAGTGGGGGGGGGCTGCACCTGAGGGGAGAAACCAATTACTGTGTAAAAATGAACAACAATGTAAGAAAATAAAAAAGAAATTAATGTGGTAATAACTGTAGACATATGCAAACATACTAAAAACCATTGAAATGTATACTTTAAATGCAAAAAAGTAAGTTTGTTTATTAAGAAATGACTAATGTATATTTTACAAGGCAGTAATGACTCTCGCATGAGCATGAGATGATGGGCCTCTGGCTCATACAATGCTAGCCAAAAGGGAAACTTAGTGTAAGGTTGGCTTGCACAGCCTGATAAAGATGAAGTTGTAGACTCAGCTGTCTTTTTGAGGTATTGATTAGATCGATTATATTTGCTGATGGAAAAACTTGACAAAAAAACAAGTTATAAGCAGTAAGTGCTTTTGATCGCAGTTTAATCCCTATGACTATGAAACAATGTTAGTTAACCTTGGTTATATACCTAAGTGATAGAATTATGGGTAATTCTCACTTTTTGTATTTATGTTATCCTATTGGTAAGATAATGGATTTTTTAAATCTAATTTATTTATAATTTTTTGTCAAAATTATATTACATGTACATATAGAAGCATTTAATATGTTTGAGGCCTCCCCTTGGATACCTCTTCACTCCAATTAGTTTCTTCCAAAGGGTTAACCCTGTTAGAACATCTTCTATATATCTCTAGGATGATATCTATGAATTTTCACCACATATAATAGTGTTTTGAGTTAGTCTCTATGGTTTATATAATTGATTTATTATACCACTTTCTTTAACATTCTTGGACATCTTTCCTATATAAAAGCAAAACAGTCAAATTGAAATTGATCTCATTTTCTGTAAGACCACTTTTGAGACCTGATACTACACAATATTATGTATTTTAAGATACACATTTGAATATCATAAACATAGCTTATGTCTTTAAGTCAGCACAATATGACTGAAAATGGAGTGCAAAAATCTCTTAACTTTCCGGTCCCCTATCTTCCTATATTTTTACACATAAAAGTAGTAGATCTGAGGCAACCTGTTGGCTCAGGGGTTAAAGACAGCACTATCAAGCTATTGCCAACCACTGCAACATGAGTTTGATTCCCAGCCAGCCAGGGAGCTACCCACATGGCGCAGCAGACCTCTCCTATCTCGCCCTCTGCTCCCCTCAGCAGTGCATCTCAGTGAGTCCTCCTGTTCTGTTCCCTGATCTCTCTCTGGTGGATCCTCTCACTCCCCTGAACCTCAGGACTGTACCCCAGTTATTGTATGCATAAATAAATAAATCTTCAAAAAAAAAGTAGTAGATCTGGGAACATCTCCTATGTCATTCACGTAAGGTTATTTATCTCCATAATATAATTTCAAAGAAAGCTAGGGACATTTGTCAGAAGCCTCACCATGTAATTACATGAACTAAGGCACATTTTTTTTCAGTGAAAACATTAGTAAGTGACAGATATCAACAAAAAGTCTCTTTATATTTCCCTCTTTATTCAATGTTCTGCTTTCAAATACCAGTTCTGCACTTTCCTTGCAGACTTACGTAAATTATAATGTTAGTATATTAAAAATTCCAACTTGTTGGTTGGCACAGAGTAGTGGCTCAATAAGGGGTGGCTATTATTACTACTACTATTGCTGTTTATGCCCATTTCTAGCTACTTACAATGAATACAACTTAAAGTTTTCTGGGTTTTTAAAAAAATGTTTACTCAAAGATAAAATAGCTTTGGAAATGTCTTCTAGTCCATTTAGGGTTTTTTTTTTAATTATTTGACATCTCTCCACTATCACATATTCTTATGTTTGATGTAAGTGAGCAAAACAGAGTCTCTGCTCTCTGCGAAATTATACTCTAAAATGGATGAACTTTGTTGGACATTCCTAAAAAAAAGTCATACTAACAATCCTGAGCCAGTGTCATAAATTCATTTGATCCCTGTAAGGTCAAAATTTAGGGAGACTATTTATACCCATGAACATTATGAGCATCTTAAATAAATAAACAAATACAAGCTTAAATATTGGGAAGTCCCTAATATGTATGCATTATATATAAAATATATTACATATTATATACTTAGGTTATGTCTATATGTAATGTATATAATATATTATATATATTATATACATATAATACATATAATATAGCAAAAAATAGCAGCCCTAGAGAGTATGTGATACTATATGTTTTTAAAGCTATAGTATTGTTATCTGGGTCTGATTTCATTAAACCAGAAATTTTTCTCCTCTTGACTAAATTATTTCAGATTTCAGATTTAATAAGAATTTAAAGATTTATATATTAACATCTAGGTTTTTACCTCTAAAAGCAACCACTATTATCAGTTTATTTTTCTCAGATTTTATATTCATATAAAGATATTTTACATGAAGAGAAATATGTAAAAAGAGATATATAGCTGTTATATATTTATACTTTTTAATTTAAAAATGATGAGATACTGTTCTCACAATTATACATCTTATCTTTCCATTTAATATATTGGAAACTGAAAATTGTTCAGAATACGCTTGTAAAGATACACTCCATCTTGTGTATAATTGCTTTGCTTTTCATTTCTCAGTTTAAATTCCCTTGTTCAAATAATCCCTGTTGGACATTTAGGTTATTTTGAGCCTTTTAGATATTCAATGCTACAGTAAATAACTTTATACATGGGCTTTTTTTTTTTTTAACATATGCAAGTTGATCTTGATAAACTACTGGAAAAGAAAATGCTGGTTCAGTGCAGGTGCTTTTATAATTGGTACAGAAATTGTTAAATTGGCCTCATTGCCAGTTGTAGCAGGTTACACTCCCATCACTGTCTGAAAGTAACTGTTTCCCCACAGCCTTGCCAACCCAATAGTTTATGAACTTTTCTCTTCTTCGCTTTGTCCTTACAGAGGTCAGCAGAAGTGGCTGCAGTTAGATCACCGAGTTCTTGACCATGATCTGCCTAAGAAACCAGGCCCAACCATCTTGCACTTTGCTGTGAGGTATGTACTCACGGGTGCCTACAGCACCCCGCCTCCTGCTCTGCTATTGTAGTGAACATGTGTGGTGATCAGAGTTAGAAAATATAAAAACAGGGGACCTATTAAATTCAGGATGGGGGTGGGCAGGGAAAGGGTTCGTGCACAGCAAAATTGGTAAGGTTTTATTTCTTAAGCTATATACAGGAAAACCTATTATTTAAAAGAGATTTTCTGCTGCCTTAGTTGGGACCAAGTTACCATAGATACTGTATAGGTCTTTGAAGGTGAAGGATAGAATCACCTTCCTCTAGTCCTGAGAGCCCCTTGAATTCACTTAGCTGAAAAACATAGGTAATATATTTTATAAATAAGCCTGTTTCTGCTCAACATAATTTTATGCTTTTATAATGTAAAATATGGCAAACATTCACTATTACATTTTATGTAGAAATGTTTTCTAGACACTGGAAATAATTTAATTCCATTTCATGCAAATAACAGTGCAAAAAGCAGAATTCCACTTGCATCCAGAGACACAGCTGAGAATAATGTAAAGTCCTGAACTTCTCTGAACTCTGCTCGGGCAGGTCACTTAACCATACATACAGACCTCAGTAATTCTTAAAATGGATGTCTTCAACTGAATCAGTGGTTTCTTAAAGCTAGCCCATGCTGGACACATTTTTTGCTTTAATTATTCATAATCTAAGATAAAAAGTCAAGAAAAGGTAACACCCATTTTCCTATATATAGATTAAGAAATAAAACCTTACCAATTTTGCTGTGCTCTTACCCTTTCTCCCATATCCTGAATTTGATAAAAATTTCATGAAAAATTTTGTTTTCCTGATCTAAGCCAAATATGGTAGAATAAGCTAAAGTAGTAGATTTCTCATAAATTTAAATATATTTTCATAAAGCTCAATCGACCTAAAGAACTGTTCTATATTCTGAGCTTATGTATTTTTTGGATATTGAAATATTCTTTATAACCTGGTGGTGGAAACTTCTTGCTTTTTTCAGGGGATTTATACTCTATTTGTCAAAACTCTGTCAATTTCTGCAAATGCTTTTTTCCCCTCTTCAGTCTGCCCCATGAAATCCAAACATGCGGTAATAAGATGTTCTCCTTTAAAAAAAAAAAAAAAAGATATTTTGATGTGAATTGGTAGTGATTATGGATGAGAGCTGCTCCTTACTTGGTAAATAAAATGTTGACAACCCCTAATTTATTTTTTCTTACCACCACAAATCACAATTTTTAAAACCCAGGATGAAGGTAGTATAACAGTAATTTGTCCAGGAGCAATAGCTGATATCATATAGTTCACAGAAATGCTAAAGAAAAGGGCCTCCCCTGACGGCGCAGCAGTTGAGCGCTGGTTTGCGAAGCTGCCCGCAGCCTTTGCAGTGCTGGTTCTGCAGCTCCAGTTCGACCCCCGGCCGCCTGCGAGGGTCCCACATGGCATGACAGACCTCTCCTGCCGCGCCCACTGCTCCCCTCAGCAGTGTGTTTTGTCAGTCTGCCTGTTCTGTTCCCCGCTCTGGCTCTGGTGAATTCTCTCATCCCTCCCACGCTTCTGACTGTACCCAGTGCTTGTATAAATAAATAAATAAATAAATAAATAAAAGAATAGCTATAAGAAAGAAAAAATCAAAATCAACGAACAACTATGAACCAGAGACACACTATGGGGCGGGGGTGGCGAGGAAAGGAAGGATTGGGGTCAAAGTAAGGGGGTTGCAATTGTATGGGGAATATAAAAATAAAAATTAAAAAAAAAAAGAAATGCTAAAGAGAAACAGGAGTTCTGGAAAGAATGTGAGTGCTTATGGCTATGGAAATGAGGATAAAGATAAACACAAACCAACAAGCAATAAGAAAACATGCATATTAGTAATTAAGTAGCAGTCAGAGAATAGAGATATTTTATTCTGGTACTGTGTGGGAGAACTGGTTACATAATTTTTTTTCCCCAAAAATTTATTCTCTCTAAAAATTTGAATTAAAGACTGAAGATTCCTCTCCATCAGCCTTTCTCCCTTACTCCTGTCATCAACGCACGTATCTTCTTAGACAAAAATAAGAATGATAAGCTGTTTGGTGACTTAATTTTTATTTTTACTTGAAGATTTTTCCTTGAGTGTTTAAAGATCTACTTTATTTCTTTGCTTGTCCATAATTTGGCTATCCAGTCTCACTATTAAGCATTTAGACAGCTTCCAATTACTTATATTCAGCTTCAGGTCGCAGTTAGCCTCCTTGCACCTATGTCTTTGTGCACGCAGTGTTTATGTCACACAGCTACTCAGTGAAAGCTTTGTGCCTGTGCAGGATTTTCAAGTACTGTTTATTTAGTCACCAGATTTCTCTACTAGTTCATTGACAGCTAATATCTGGCCCATTTTTTGGTCTCAAAATACCAAGCAAGAAAACCTTGTCTTCCCTCTCTGCAATCATGCTATCTCTTCAAAGCAGGTTCCTGAGATTCCAGAGTGGCCTGCAACTTGTTCGTGAGTTTCAGCACTTACCTAGTCACTTGGCTTTACTTTCCCTTAATGACTTGCAAGTTAAACCCCTTATCAGGTTTTTAATTATTCACGTAATTCTTCCACCCAACAGTGTAGTGAGATCATAATAGTTTTTGTTATTATTCCCATTAAGTACTTGTTGTTACTCCAATCTAATTAAAGAAATGATAAGGCAAAAGCACACACGAAAGAATTAAATGAACTGACCCAGGTCACCAAGTGGAATGTAATTCTTTGGAAGTCTTACAAATGAGGTGGTTCTGCAGCCCCATGAGTCAGCTACCTCCCAGAGGACCTCCAGTCCCCTCTCCTTTTAGAAAAACAGAACCATTGGTGCACTTAGATCCCAATAGTCACTGCCACCAATCCTCTAGATTGCTACTGAAGAATCAAATCAAAGACAGCATTTGTTTATGTTGGGATATTGAGTCACTAAAAGAACCTCTGGAAATATGGAGGACCTCTTCTGAAATCAGGGTCAGTGCCTCTGACATCAGCAAGAATTGCTGTATGAGCTGGAGCAGGGCATACCAAGCCCCTCATTCAAGGTGTGCTGTTGCTGAGCAGTTAAATGCGCAATGAGAAGGAATTTCCTTCAACTGTAGCATATTGTAAGGAAGTACATTATTGTTATTTTTAATGCAAACAGTTTGAAATATCCAAATGCCAACTGTGGAGATAGATTCAGTAAGTTACAGTATTTTTACAGGGAACAATTGATGGCTTTAATGAAAGAGATAAGATGAAAGAGTCATTGTATTTCAGAGCTTCTCCAAGGGGGAGGGGGGTGCATATTTGGATCATCCTGGAAATTTTTCAGAATATACTGTCACACCCCTCTGGCCTCCAAACCCCTTGACCCACCCACATTCCTGACCCTGATTCTGACACAGTGCTCTGGACATGGTGAATGTGGTCTTGGGCAAGTAGACTGTGTGAATTAAAGAGATTGGGGATCAAAATAGTGTTGTAAACTGTTAAGCAAATATAAGAAAAAAATCTTTAATTGTGGCATTTATGAAAAAGAAAAATACAGTTTTACTCTCAAGAAGTTTCCTCTCTATGAAAATGTAGCATTGGGGCCTCCCCGGTGGCGCAGTGGTTGAGCGCTGGGTTGCGAAGCTGCCCGCAGCCTCTGCGGCGCCGGTTCGATCCCCGGCTGCTCCCCGGCCACCGGAGGAGGGTCCCACATGGCGCGCAGACCTCTCCTGCCGCCCGCTGCTCCCCTCAGCAGTGTACTTCGGTCCTTCTGCCTGTTCTGCTCCCCACTCTGGCTCTGGTGAAGTCTCTCACCCTCCCGCGCTTCTGACTGTACCCAGTGCATGTGTAAACAAAACAAACAAATAAAAAAAAAAAAAAAAAAAAAAAAAAACATGCCTCTAAAATGTAGCATTGAGGGCCTCCCCAGTGGCACAGCGGTTGAGCGCTTGGCTGCAAAGCTGCCCGCAGCCTCTGCAGAGCCGGTTTGATCCCCAGCCACCGGCGAGGGTCCCACATGGCGCGCAGACCCCTCCTGCCGCACCTGCTGCTCCCCTCAGCAGTGTACTTCGGTCCTTCTGCCTGCTCTGCTCCCCGCTCTGGCTCTGGTGAATTCTCTCACCGTCCCGCGCTTCTGACTGTACTCAGTGCTAGTATAAATAAATAAATAAATCTTTAAAATGTAGCATTGATCCTGTGGCAGGCAGTGGGCTAATATTAGACGTGTTACTAATTCCTTTGGTAAACACTGGGGTGCCACAGATTTGGGGGTGCTTTCTCCTGGTACTAACCCCCAGGATAGAGGGAGCAACCCAGAAACACAGGCTGCTTCTGCAAGGAGGAAAGAAAACATTAAAGTTTCTTCCTTTATAAATTTAGGATGAAACCTTTGCCTTTTCTTCAGTTATAAAACCTCCATGGCATGTGTGACACATGTGTGTATAATGGTCCCATAATTTATTTGTGCATCATAATTCATTTAACCCATTCTCTCTTTCCATATGAGTTCAGACTCTCCCCCAGGTTATTTGTGGAGCTTCTCCGGGCTGTGGCTTGTTATCTGTTGCTATAAATTATCTTCCACAAACACATGTGCCTCTTTGGTAATGCAGTGCAGATGTGAGTATTTGAAAAGCCTTGATAGTGAGGAGCACACAGGCATTTAAATCTGAGAGCAGGGACTTGGTGTTACCTCATTGGAAAAGCTCCCATGGCTGGGGGAAAAGGGGAGTGCAGAGTTGGCTCAAGCTGGTACCAGCCAGCTTCACCACAGCCAGGATCTTGGCATCTTCACTCCCCTTATTTTTCCAAACACCTTTTGCTTTTTCTTTTCTTCTGGTCTTCCCCCTTCTTCATCCTCTTTCCAAATCACCTTTGCTCTGCCCCAGGACTGTAACTGACCACTCAGAGCTACCATAAGCGTTGTCTGTGACGCTCAGGGCTGGAAACCTGGAATTCGTGTAAGAAACATGAAAATTTTCTGTCACAGTTGCTACAGAGAGCTCCT